CCAGAGCCAAGAACATTTTCTTTCCTTTCTGTATGCCAAGACAAGCTCCGCACACAGTTTGTCCTGCAACCTCCCCACTTCTATGGCCTTCCTTCTCACTTACGCTAACTTCCCTCTCTCCAAGATACCAGCATATCTTTCTAAAATAAGGTGATACTCTAGGTACGTGAGAAAGAATGTGTGGAAGTCCTCTGGACTTCATCTATTTGGGGAAATCTCTGCTATTCATTGACCATTCCATTCTGTTGCGGCCATCCCTGCAGTCTCTGCCTGATGCTACAACAGCAGCTGCCTGGGGCTTGTTTCTTATCAGCCATCCTTTCTAGCTCTTTTGCCTTCACAGCACTGCCAGAGACACCTCCCAATCTGATCCTTCTTCCTTCATTATCAAAACAAAGCAACCAGGCTGCTGGCTTTCCCTGACCTTGTGGAAGAAGGAATCCTCAAGTCTTGCCACACCCACTCCCATTCTTGACTTACTTTTTTTTTTCTTACTTTTTATGTCTTACCTCTTACTTCTTACATCTCAGCGAGGCAGAAGGGGTGGAGGTAGCGACTGCTACAGGCCAAATTCGATTTGTACAATTGTTATCCTTTAAACAGTAAATTAAAAAAATTTCAAAAATCTTGTTTTATTGAATTCAGCTCTGAAAATATAGCCATGATGCTATCTCCCATGCTTTTTAAAGCCAGGGTGGTAGGTCAACGGTGGCGGCCCCTTTTGATGGAGTAGACTCTCTTAAGCCTTCCATAGCTTCTGTGTCCTTTAGTATCCCCAACATTGAGATAGCGTGTCACTTTCTATTCATCATCACTTTAAGCTTTGTGTTCAAAGAGAGATTATGAGCTTGGTGCAGTGCTAGACTTCTGTGATCTAAGTATCAGGAAGCCGAGGCCAGAGGTTCATGAATTTGGGATCAGCCTGGGCTAGAGAGGACAGTTCGAACAAGAGTGAGCTATAGAGTGAGATTTCTTCACCCAAACATAACAAAAATAAAACAAGCAAGCCAACAAAACCCAGTAGAGGTGGGGTGGCAGTTGATGCCACTTTGCTATAGCTAGATAAGAGATAGGCCGATATTATTTTATATAGAGAAAACATTTGCAGGGTGGAAGACATGCTTTTATTACCCTAGGCATCCAAGTCTGGCTATCTAGTGATTTGTTGCTAAACATCTCTGTTCCAATTCTGGTTTCATTAGTTGCTGGTTGTGTAGAGAGTGAGCACACAGCAGAGTTTTGGTAAGGATTCTGTGAGATAATCTGTACACAGAAGTTAATATAAAGATTGGCAAAGTGCTCATATTGTTATTGCTATTAACTAGTTTGTTTCCGAATCTAATGGTAGAAATGTCAGATCCATGAGAGACAAGATATGGGAAAGAGGACATTTGTTTCCTGGCCACATAATTCCTAGATGTGGGTCAAGTGATTTAACCTCACTATGCATTCATTTTTGAGGCTGTTTAAATCTTTTTTTTTTTTTTTTTTTTGGGCAGGGGGGTGGGGTGGGATTTGAGACAGGATTTCTCTGTGTACCAGCCTTAGCTGTCCTGGAACTAGCTCTGTAGAGCAGGCTAGCCTCGAACTCACAGAGATTCACTTGCCTCTGCCTTCCAAGTGCTGGGATTGCATGTGCTACCACTGCCTGATGGGTGTTTAAAATCTTAATAATAACAACAGCACAATAATATTAGTCACATCTTTGGTCTTCAGCTATCATCTGACACACCATGGCACAGAGAGAAATTTGTACTCTGTGTTGGGGGGTACTGGACACTAAGTAGTTGATAAATAAGTGTTCTTAATATTATCAATCAGCTTTCCTTTCTCTTGCCAAGAGGATGCCACCTGATAGTCATAAAGACCCAGAGAGCCAGATAACCTACTTGCATGAGGCACCCATACTTCTTTATGTTTTTTTTTTTTTAAAATGTGATACAACAAGAAAACTTTAAAATTCACTATTCAACTGTACAGTCCAAATGCCCACTTGTAAATTGGCTACAGAAGATTCATCTAAGATATAGTGAGGAAACACAGATTCCGGACTTCTCCTCAGGTGATTCTGCCTGTCAGGGAACTGGAAATTGTCCTATGGGATATGTTTATATGATACTAATCCACGTTCCTTCTCAACAGCATTGCTCTGTAATGATATCCTATGTCTCTCTGACATATGCATGTTTGTGTGGGTGAGTCTGGAGGCTAGAAATTGGTGTTGGGTATTTTCTCCTCTTCCTGGTATTTTTGATGGGATTACCCTGAATTTGGATATCATAGATTCAGCAAGGCTGGCTGAAGTCTGGCTCTGCCTCCTCAGTCCTGGGATTAGACATAACTGTGCCTGGCTTTGACATGAATGCTAGGGACCTGAACTCAGGTCCTCATGCTTGCTCAGCAAGCGCTTTACCAACTCCCCAGCCCTTGAATCATCTTTTTCAAGTGTTTAAATGTAATTTTCTTTCTTTCCTCTTTGCTTCCTTGTCATTCATCTTCTTCCTTCTCTTTGCATTGGAGAGGATGAAGCCCAGGATCTTGGATTAGGGCACAGTGAGCTACATAGCCAGAGGTTTAACAGATGTTACATCAGAGGGTATTTTCTTTGTCAGTCTTAGCATCCATCCCTGCACACAATCATACATAAAGTGGGGCTGACCACATGATAGAAGGCTAGTTTACACAGTCTTGTGATATTTGGGCTCAGATGGTGCCCCTAGGACATTGTCTTCACAGAGACCTTCTGGTCCTCACTGTGGGATGGCCACTTCATGCAGAAAGCCAGAAACTTATTACCATGCAGACTCTCATGTCCAGACATAGATACACCAAGCCAGACTGTTGTCCAGAAAAGGAAAGTTAATGCCAGATGACACCAATATGCTGCCTGGACTTTGAAAAGGATGGTTTCTCTCTCTCTCTCTCTCTCCCTCTCTCTCTCTCTCTCTGTGTGTGTGTGTGTGTGTGCATGCACGCGTACGCATACACTCAATAAAATCTGTGTTGTGCTCACGAGATTTTACTTGGGTCTTGCTATGAGATGGGATTTGAAGAGCTGGGCTTAGCTGTGGCTTCACCTCTTAGTCAACCACTGGGTGATGCTGATTAAGCCATTACCCTCTAGTTCGCTTGTTTTAAAATTGAGACAGCTCAGCAGGGGAGGCCCTTGGAATGTTGGCTTCTCTATAGACACTAACTTGAAAAGAGCCACCTCTTCTATGTGCTCTGAAAGCAGGACTTTTCCTGGGACTTGTATTGGCAGCTCTTCTGTTTTATCAGAAGAACAGAGTCTGAAGCAACTGTGTGTATGTCTGGTAAGATTAAGCAAGAAGCATGTAAAGGCCCCTCCTTTCCTTGTTCCTTTCCTCTTCCCTCTTGTTTCTTCTCAGACTCTGGTAATACAGACTTTCGTGTGGGAAAGCTCCGTTTACAAACTGTCACATCTCATGGGAGTGCTAGTGTCACTGTCTTGGTTACTATTCTATTGCTGGGAAGAGACACCATGTCCAAGGCAACTTACAAAAGAAAACAGTTAATTGGGGACTTGCTTACAGTTTCAGAGGACAGGAGTATGTCAGCAGGCAGGAAGGCATGTTGTTGGAGCAGTAGTGGAGAGCTTACACCTTATCCTCAAGTTTTTTTTTTTTTGGGGAGGGGGGGAAGAACACTTAACTGGGAATGGCTTGAGCTTTTGAAATTTCAAAGATCATCCCCAGTGAAACTTCTTTAAGGCCACACCCCCTAATTCTTTGCAAAACAGTTCCACTAATTAGAGACCAAACAAACAAACATTTGAGCATATGGGAACCATTTTCATTTAAACCACCACATTTGCCATCCCCCCCCCCCCCGGGGTGTGGTGTGTGTGTGTGTGTGTCTGTGTTTGTGTGTGTGTTTGTGTGTCAGGTTTCAAGACAGGTTTCTCTATGTAACTGGTAATCCTGGTACTTTCTCTGTAGACTGGACTGGCCTTGAACTCACAGAGATCCTCCTGTCCCTGCCTCCAGAATGCTGGGATTATATGCATGGGCCACCACCTCCTGACTTTGTTTTTTTGAGACATAATCTTTCTTTGTGGCCCTGGCTAGCCTGGATCATGTTGAGTAGACCAGACTAGCCTTGAACTCATAGAGATCTACCAGATTCTGTCTCCCAGTTGCTGAGATTAAAAGTGTGTGCTACCATGTCCTGCAAACAATTGTTAATAATACTCTCATGTGAAAAATACAGATCTGGTGATTGGAATATTTTCCATTTAACTGCTATCTGTCATGTTAAAGAAACTAGAGTGATGGATTAAGTACAATGCGGGTTCTGGGTTCCTGGACTTGAGAAAGGCAACAGATGGGCACAGCGAGGGTTTGGTCATTTTCCTCAATACTGAAGTGATGATACTGTACTATAATGCCTTTAATGATTTTGGTAGATGGATCTAGTCTAGTTGAGTCATTCATCCAGACTACCTTTCACAGAGGGTCATTCTCTCCTATTTTGTTGATGACTCTGAGAGCTAATCATATCAATTGCCCAGTAGTTTAACATGCCTTGTGCTTGTTACTGTGCTTGTGACTTCGCAGGATCTTCAATCTTAGTTTGTTCCTAAATATTAGCATGCACTTGACTCTTAGCTTGTTCAGTCAGTACTCTGTTTAAGTCAACTCCATGCAACAGTGCAGAACAGGTGGAAAACCCTGGACTCTTTCCTTCTCTCTCTTATATCCCACCTTAGCTAATTTATATTATAAACATTATGGATGCAGACTCTCTTGGATTTAATTGCAATTATTATTTTTTCCTGGTACTGTAAAGTTGGTAAAGGAACCAAGGATATTTAGGCATATTTTCTGTGTTCCTATAGTCTCTTACATTGTCTGAAAAAACCATAAACTTCACTTAAAAGGCAATGAATCCTTCATGGGATTTTGTGTAAGCCATGCATTTACCAAGATCCCCACTTGTGCTGTGGCTTAACTGTCTAATCTTTGATTTATAATTTACAGCTGCTGAGAACCAGAGGGAAACCTACTGCTTTGGAAGAACATTTCCCTTGCTTACCTTGCCACTGCTGTGGATCCCCTTCAACACTGGTCCCTCAACACCGACTGTAAGAAGACTCCATGGATGGCACCCAGTTTTATCAACTGCAGTTATCCCTCTGCGTTTCCTTCTTTGCTTTCTTTCCTTCAGGGAGGCTCTCATCTGGGCTAGATCAGAGATGACCTAGCAGGACAACAGACTGGAGGATTGACCTCTTAGAGTGCCAATGGTCAACAGTGTGCTGCCAGATCCATAGAAAGATAAGAAGAAGGAAATATGCTATGTGGAAGAGAGAAGAATGCCTTGATAATTCCTTAGAGGCGGAGAGCTAGGAACAATCAAATTTAGAAGAATGTGGACTTTTTTTTTTTTTTTTTTTTTTTAACTGAAGGGCTCTGTTTTGTCCTTTCTGGGATGTATAATGTAGGTGTTGCTGCTGGGCTGTGAGTCAGGGGAGAGGCTAAGTATTCTAGTAGTTTGCCTACTTAGCTCTCATCCTTTAGTAAGGGGCACCAAACTCTTAGTCTCTATATTGCATCTCTGCACTGTACAGCTGCATTTTTGACCTGGAAGACATTGACTATCTTGTAGGGTAAAGGTCAATGACATGAGTAGTTAAAACCCCCTTGATATTTTTGTTTATAGACCAGGTGGTGACATCCTGGATTGAGTTAAAAGAGTACAACTGACTCTTTTAAAATATTTGGTTGAATGTAGAAGGCAACATTATGGAACATGTTTGGAATCATGAAACATGGTACTAGTGGCCATATTTTGCCAGCCTGCCTACCATCTAAATACAGTGTAGACTCTACAGAGACCAGAAGCAGGTAGTTATGGTTCTTTTTCCATGGAGCTTACCCTCTAATGTCCCTGTATGTGTGAAAAGCAGTGGCTATGGACTGTGTGCGGCCACACAGATGCTATTGAGCACAGGCCTCTTGTCGGGGAGGAGTTACTAATGCTGTAGTCATGGCTAGTGGCCAAGTATCTCTATGCCTACATTTTATAACCAACCTCTGAATGTGAACTGCTTTTCTCTAGCAAAAGTCCTGGGATGTAGGGGAGGTGCTTGAGGTTTGCAGGGCTTCTGTGGAGGGAAATATGAAATGATTTGGACCAGGAAACAAACAGGAATAGGATTCAGAAGCAACTATTGCTTCTATTCTATGTAGGAAACTACAGTATAAAACATTCTGGGCTGGGGAACTTTTGACACCTCGGGTTTAGTCCTTCCTTCCCTCCCTCCTCCTTTCTCTTCCTCCCTCCATGTCTACTGAACCAATTTTGTTTTGTTTTGGTATATTTTTTTGTCTTATTGATTCTGTTTCTTTGTGTGTTTTGATTTTTGTTGTTTTTCTTTTCTTTTGAAAGAGAAACAGCAAGAAGTTGAGTGGTTAGGGAGGAGGGGAGGATCTGGGTGGAGCTGGAAAGTACATGATAAAAATATATTGTCTGAAAAAAAAAAAAACCAAAAAACCCTTTAAGTAAAAGTACTTGTGTTCTTGAGACAGTCACAGGTAACCCAAACTGACCTTGTGGCTGAGGTTGGCTTTGAACTTCTGATTCTTTTGCATTTATGTGGGTGGACTGCTGGGATTATAGTCATATAACCATGCCCAGCCCATTTTCAAATATTTTAGTGCAACATTCTTCCCTTTATGCAGAAGTAGAATCCATAAATCTACATTTTTCTAAACATTCTAAGGAGGAACAACAGTCTGGAGAGCATTTTCAACACCTTCAAGTATCCGAGTATTAGCTCTGTGAAGACAAAATGTAGAGATGGTGGATTGCTCTCCCTACTTTTCATTTGAATGGTCTGGTGTGTTGTAGTTCCAGCCATTAACCATAAAGCAACTGATATATTTTCTTTATCCCTCAAGAGAATGGAAAAAAATTCTTTTTCCAAACAATTAAAACTTTTCTGCTTCAGGTGGATTGGAAGAATTGGGAGTTATGTCTCCTTGTATATAATTGCAAGTTTCGTCTTTCTTGTTTTAATGATTGACAGAAAATTGATAAACGGAGACATCTCCTTATTAGGGTTGAATGTACTCTCTTGGTGGCCCCATTGCTAATTTGTTTGACTATTTTGCACGATTTCTTACTCTGTAATGGAAAGGTTTATTAAATATGAGGGTTGCAAAGCTTTCTGAATACTAATGAACTTATTTGCCAAAATTTAAATGTTCTTCTTGTCAGTGAATGCCTGTCTCACTTAACAGGAACCAAATTGAATAATGAAGAAAATTAGATTCTATCAAACCTCAAGAGAAATCATGTGTGAATTGTAATAGAAAACCGAAGGAGAAAAGGGTCATATTTTAGAAAAAACACTAGATAATTTGGATTATTTTAAAAGAGGGTGAACTTAGGGAAGCTCAGGTCTTTTCACAGAAACACACATTCAGTCAATTAACGCCAAATGCTGTTTTCCCTTTCCCTAAGCAGTCTATACCTATTGCCAGCTTTCAGAAAAAGAAGGGTGAGATAGGGAAATGCACGCCAGGTTTCTGTGCTTACAATTCACTAGCCTTATTCTCATATAAGGACTTTATATACTTGTGATGGAAAGGGAAAAAAATCAATAATCTGGAAAGACGAGTACTATTCTTCAGAGAAGTTCAGTAAAGAGATAGAATTTGGAAAATTGCTGCAATTCTTCCTATAAGCATAATAGAATGAGTCTGCCCTTCACTGGTGTGTTTAATTCCATCATCTTGGCGATATGGCTAATGAAGCACATGATCATGATGCCTTCCTTTGCTAGCATCTAGGGGCATTGTGGGAACAACATGCTTGCCCTCTTCCCCAGGGAGATGGTGGGGGAAATTCAGCAACCATACCAACTGCAGAGCATGATCAGTAAAACACAGGGTGTGTGTGGAGGAAAATCAAGCCGCGAAGCGGGAGTGAATCAGAATGGAAAGGTGACAAGGAATGAAGAAAAGAAATTGGACTCTTGGTCCTTGACACAGATCTGCGAAAGGGACGTGTTCAATAAAAAAGTATGGGGGAACGAGGATCTTGGGGCTGAGAAAATAATCAAAAGGAAATAACGAATGTCTCCAGTCTTAAAAGGAGTTTGCCTGAGGTCTTAAAAAGTTACAGGAAATAAAGAGGAAGGACAAGGCCTTTAGAACCTGTGGAGTTTTTAAAACAAAACAAAACATACAAATATGGAAAGCTGAAATGCTGTTCCAAGAAAACAATGGACAAGAAAAGAAGCAGTGAGTAAAGAGAGATTAGTATTTAGGGTTTGTTTTCAATCCAGAAGAGGAAAGGGTTATGGTAGAAGCATCTTTTAGCCATCATGCTGGATCTCATCTCTGAAAAAAAAAAAAGGTTAATTTATCTCAGAGTAATGCCATTTTACACTATTTTATCCGAGATGCATCTCCTTTATTGCCCCGATGAGATTAAAAAACTAGACCTTGATTGCTTCTTGAGGGGTTACAAATCTCCATTCTCCCTCTTATAATAACTGGATTTCAACAAGTAAGTAAATAAACAAGGAGATAAAGGGATTTTTCGCTATCATTTCAACTTCTGGCCTGATCTGATGGAAATAAAGAATTTATTAAGTCGGGAGGGAGGCGGAGGAACAAGACAATGGAGCAGAGGAATAGGCCGCACACCCAGTAAGATGGCCCAATTTGTGAGAAAATCAAGGGAATAATCGGATTTGAAGGACGTGTGCAGTAAGGAGTATGGAATAATAAGATATTTAGAAAGGGGAAATTACTTGGGAAAGTGAGAGCGAATGGCGAATTATATGGGAGATGATTAAGGACCGAGGAAGGCAGAGGCAGGAGCAAATAATTGGGATGGGAAACAAAATGTGACTAAGGAGCTGTAAAAGGGCAAGTTCCGATTCTGCATGGCCACCCACAGACCTCCAGGGACGGTGCACAAGTGAGAAAGAAGGGTGGGAAAGACCCACACCGTTCATGGCTAACATGCAAAGTCAGGACAGTCAGAGAAGCAGTGTCACCCTTCTTTGGGGATGAAAGCACACCCAGAGAAGTGCATTCGTCTGTGTTTGCCACTCATTTATGAGCAGAATAGTCTTCGTCTCCCTTTGTAAAAGGTTGATTCATAAAACGATCGCTATTAATGGAGAGAAAAGGTAAGCATTATCAGGGAAGTTAAGAAAAGATTGCATCTGGAGTAACTGAAGCGGGACGTATGGGAGCAAGCCTCTTTGTGGCCCTCAATGTAAGATTTCCAAATTAGGCATCCCGTGGAAAAACTAGAGAGCAATTATCCAAATAGTGGATAGGTAGTCAACCACCTATCCAAAGTGTAGATAGTGACAAGGGCAGAAGTTTAAATTGTAAATGTGTTTTACAATAGATTTTCTGAGACATTTCACCCTCCATAAGGATGGTTGTCATAAGTTTAAAAACTTCCTGGTATTATCTGAAACACTTCCATGAAAGGGTTTATAGCAATGTAAAATAGTAGATACAGTATTAATTGGGAGGGGGGAGGAGTTCATGTTACGAGTTGGTCTAAATGCCTGTGATTTCCCTTTTTACTTTCCCCTGTTTGTGCTGAGGATTCCTTGCAAGCAGACAGCGTAGACCCCCTTCTGAGGGAAGCTGATAAAGTAATTTAGCTGGAAAGGCTTAATGAGATAATGATGCTAAGGCCAGTTAACAACTAATAAGCATGTAACCACAAGGGATGATATTGTTGCTTATTAATTATAATGATGATGTGGAGGAGAGAGACAAGGTGGCACTCGCTTAGCAGAGAGTCCTCAGGAGTATGGCTGACTCCCAGAGGCAAAGCTGCCATCAGAGGGCTTTAGAATTAGGTCAACATTTAGCAGAGTTTGAAAGTGTATGGCTGCATGTTATATGGCCATCCCAAAGCTAGAAACCATACAAAAATGTATGGCTGCTTTTCTAGAGGTGGGCAGAGCTGGTGTGGAGTCCTGTGTGACTTCTAGGATAATGCAGAGGCAGACTATAGGTCAAGGTTTGGGTACATCTGCTTGTTGATAATTCCCAAAGTGGATTCCCTGGGTGGACAGGCAGGTGTCCAGAATGAACTGGG